GCATATGTATTGTGTGTTTATACATGGCGTACATAATGATGTATATAAATCTCCCCAACCCTCACATTGTAAACATACTTTTCCACAATGTTCATACCAGTAATATTTTTCAACAATCCAACAGAAGAACATTAGTAACTACAACATTGTGATGGAATCAGATATGGGTACTTTTACACCAACTGGAATCTGGTTTACAGGTAAGAACAAATATTGTTTATGTACCGGTAGTTTGTATGCAGTGACATTTTTCATGACTTAAAACTTCAAGTCACTATAATGTATTATTTTAATACTTGAAGTGCATAAAATACATTGAATCTAAATTAAATTGGGCCACCTACAGAATATTGCAATTCACAAATTAAAATACACAGATACCAAGGCAAAATCAACCAAATTTATTAGTAACTGTTTATCAACACAAATCTTGTAATATATGTGGCATGTCGATCTCCGTCCTTTAATATTTTGTTTTAGAAATTTTAATTAATTGAATCACAGAATTTCTCTTTATTCTGTATTTATTCCAGGCAGTGTCACACATCGTGTTCTGTGAATGGCACCTAAGATGTCAATGTTAATGATCTAATTATTATTCATAAATATCTGAATTGGGAATAAAATTCTTTATAATAATAAGCCTTCTTAAGACTATCATTCTCACAAAAACTGACATAACCTTGATTTTAAATACAACATTTTATACTAAAATTTGCGTTTTTATTGTTTATCACCAGGTTCTGACGCAGCCCGTGCCATTGTTAACACAGTAGTTCAATTACTAAAACCAATCAATGCAACCATGCTGTATAAAGGAGCGGAGGGCACAGATATACAACTATGGATGAATGATGGAGTGCCAGGAGCATCACTTGCTAATGAACATCCGGAATATTTCTGGTTTCACCACTCTGATGGTAAGCATTACTGGAGATCAGGTTGTACACGACACAGATATAAGCCCTCTAGTGTCCATTCATAGAGATGTGGCTTAAGAGCCTATATGTTCCTGGTGAACACATTTCATTGTGTAAAGATCTACGACTGGATGTGTTATTTTGACTTTATCAACATTTTTTAGCTTTTGGGACATTATTATAAGCCCACATATTTTAGATAACAACATCCCAAAACTGAGTGACAATCAAAAGACATCATGTGAAAGGCTTTTGACTATTAATGAATGTTTTATTGTACTTCAGTCACTCCCTGCCTATAAAACTCCAGGTAACGACGGCCTTTCTGCAGAGTTTTATAAAGCATTTTGGTATATCATTGGTACACCGCTATTAAACAGTTTTAATTCTTCATTTCAAAAAGGCCAGTTATCCGCTTCTCAAAAACAAGGTACGATAACGTTGATTGCTAAAAAAGGCAAAGACAAAACTATGATTCAAAATTATAGACCTATTTCCTTAATAAACGAATTTCAAATGTCTTGCCAAAAATAATAAATCCAGATCAGTGTGCATATGTGAAGGGTTGTTACATTGGGGATGCACTGCGTACAGTGCTAGATATAATGTGGTTAACAAGACACCAAAATAAACCAGGAGTCTTGTTATCACTAGACTTTCAAAAGGCATTTGACTCTGTTAACCACAGTTTTATCATAGCAACGTTAAAAGCATTCAATTTTGCTAATGATTTTATTAATTGGGTATCAGTATTTTACAAAAATATTACGTCTTGTGTTATGAACCA